AGCTCGAAATCATAACTTTCAAAATATCCAACTATTTTGAAAGAACAAAGAGTAACAAATTTAAGCTTAACAGTCTTGGCAAACTCACTCATAAAATTACAAGACAACAAAACAGTCTTTAACTACGTTTCAATCATTAAAACTAATTAATATTCACCCATTTCTGAAGGCAATTAACTGATATAGATACAGTATAGATACAATATTAAATATCCTTATATTACTAAATTCATAGCAGTAAAACCTCCACCAGAGACAACTGTTGAGTATCTTCATCCTCAATAATTTTGTGTCAGAAATATCTAAGTGTAGGTATGTTAAAATGTTTAATAAAGGAGTCAATCTCAAATAATATTGAGCTTTTGACTTGCATACGTGTTGTATTGAATTTTCCGCATATCGCAATTAAAGGAAGAAAGTCTAGAAGGCAAAAGTCTTTTGCCCATCTCTCAAAAGCAACGCATGAGAAAAACGGTGAGAATTACAAGGCGCTGGTTACAAGTTTTATTACTAAATTTCAATTCTATCCAAACTTAGCCTTTAAGGAATGTAATATTCTTGCATATACCAGCAGCTCTCTAGAACCACTAAAACGTGTCACATATTTGAGCAGAGCTGGAAAGTACCAAAATACCCTTGTGACATATTTTACACTTCTCAACTAAGCAAAAGTCCCGAGGTTGTATAAAGGGCAATGCAGGTTCATTCAAGACAATGCAGTGCAATACAGCTACCTGAGCATACGTATATATATGCAATACAACTGAGAAAAGGCCATAGTACCCCTATGAGCACTTGTAGCTAAAATTGAAGTGCTGAACCTTCACTTTCACAGTGATTTTGATCAAAACAGGCTGAAGCATTACAATGCACTATTACAGACACTGAGTACAATGTGATACAAGGTAGTAAATGACAGTACAATCCCTGGACCTTATTTCAACACACAATGCAGATAGAAATCATACTTAAAGCCACTGAAACAATACTTTTTGACATTAAAAGGCAAACATTCTTTAAGGTAACTTAGGACCAACAGTAACTTATAGCATTAGTACTATTATTTGCAAATTCTTTTGCTTAATTATAGAAATATAAAAAATGCTTATTTTTCATATTTTATTGCCTTGGATATCGCTTGATTTGTCAAATTAAATCAAGATTTCACTCCTATAATTACTTATTCGTTGAGAAACTAATCCATGGAAAGGGCTGATTTGAGTACAAGGAATTAACATACCCATTCCCTCTTAGTCTTTTTTTCCTTTTTTTTTTTGTCATTGGCAAGAAACATTTTTATTTATTTATTTATTTTGCTCGAAAGATGGTGAAGGCTTGTCATTGACAAAGATAATGTAATAGAAACTAGAAAATATATATATATATATATATATATATATATATATATACACACACATTAAAATAAAAAGATGAAAAAATAATTTTAAAAAACAGTGCACCAAACCAAAAGCATTCCAAATTTTCGGCCAAGTCACCATTTAGAATAAAATTCAGAATCTGGGTTTTTCTAAAACTGCATGTATTGAAGTTAAGAAGAGTGAATTAAACAATAATGAAATCCAATCCATTTTTCAAAATCCAATCAGATTACCCAATAAAAAAGATTATCTAATTTATAACTTATATAAAATTCATCTAGTATTAGATGATTAATAAGCCATATATAGTAACAGGGATATGACAGACTTAAATAGCTAGAAACAAGATCCAGGATTTCTCGTTGGGGTGGGCTAATAATAACAAAATTTCTTTAGGAAAAAAAGAAGAAGATTGCGTGATTCAATTCCAAAATTTGAAGAAAAATAAGTAGAAATCAGAAAAAAAGAAATTGCGAACGTGGAAGGGTATTGAATTGACTCACAAACGTGAGTGTGAGCAGCCAATGGAGGCATTCTTTTGCCTTCGGTGAAGATATCGAAACCTAGCTGATGATGGTTTTGCTCTTGGAAATTCTTGGATGGGTTTTTACTATTTTTTTTTTTTTTTTTTTTGGAGTGGGCAATATTAGTATAGTAAAAATAAAGTACTTATTTTTAGGGTGGGCTACAGCATACCTTTGCCCACCCCTCTGTTCGCCTTTGGCTAGAAATATTCCAATGACAATGGAACGGAGGCTTTGAGGTTTTGGATTGAAATATCAAGCAGCTAGTAGCATTTGCTTCTGCGAACAGTCAAAACCTTGGGGGCACAATGATCCATTGATGGAAAATACATAATTATTGAAGGAAAAATAAATAGAAATACATATCCGGGTCAAAGAATAATACTAATAATAATCAGGGGCGGAGCTAGAAATTGAATTTTGGAGAAAAAAAAAATTATTGTAGCCATTTTCTTAACATGTTTATAAATGATATAAATAGAGTGCTAAGAAGTTTTAGCAATGGTTAGTGGGGTTTAACAGAACCCCCTTATTCAACAGAACCCTCTTATTCTTGACTTGTGATTGGGCAAGGCCTCTCAGTTTTCCTTGAAGATCAAGGAAGAAATTGGAAAATTATGCCATTCGTTCGAGTCAAAAAGACCAATCTAATAGACTATTTTGGCTGCATAATTCGGGAATATTTGCTTGGCTCTTGTTAGCTCGAAATCATAGCTTTCAAAATATCCAACTATTTTGAAAGAACAAAGAGTAACAAATTTAAGCTTAACAGTCTTGGCAAACTCACTCATAAAATTACAAGACAACAAAACAGTCTTTAACTACGTTTCAGTCATTAAAACTAATTAATATTCACCCATTTCTGAAGCGCAATTAACTGATATAGATACAGTATAGATACAATATTAAATATCCTTATATTACTAAATTCATAGCAGTAAAACCTCCACCAGAGACAACTGTTGAGTATCTTCATCCTCAATAATTTTGTGTCAGAAATATCTAAGTGTAGGTATGATAAAATGTTTAATAAAGGAGTCAATCTCAAATAATATTGAGCTTTTGACTTGCATACGTGTTGTATTGAATTTTCCGCATTCGCAATTAAAGGAAGAAAGTCTAGAAGGCAAAAGTCTTTTGCCCATCTCTCAAAAGCAACGCATGAGAAAAACGGTGAGAATTACACGGCGCAAAACACTTTTTTGTTTTTATTTTTAATTTTTTTAAAGGAATGCATTATACGATTATTTGTCAAAAAATAGTCTAAAAGTACTTTTTGAACCTATTGTGTAGTTGGATAATATTTTTTTTATGAATAGTGATGCCACTTTCTTCTTCTTTTTTATTATTATTTTTTTATATTTTATATTTTAACAATAAAACAGGTACAAGTTCATTATCTTTACCTTAAAAAACTAAGAAAACACCATATAATAGAATCATTTTATGTACACATGTAATTAATTATGTTATGAATCAATTGCATGTCTCCCAAATTTTTAGTTTAATTTTAATTTTAATTTTTTATTTATCGTTTTACCTTTAATATATATATATATACACACACACATACATATCTTATCCGATCAGAAACTGAGGCTTCCGTTTGGTAACTATTTACGTGTATAATTTATTATTTATATAAACAAATTTTGAAGAAAAAAAATATTTATTAATATTATTTATGTTTATCGATTGTATAAATTCACTTACATAATTATTGTTCACACGGGTTAATTTTATAAACGTCAAAACTATGTTTATGATTATGCATGTGTTTATGTTTATGATTTTTATTTATTATTATTTTATTTTTTTTGCATGAAGAAAACAGAGAGCTTATAAGCAAAACAAATATCATTATTTATGACTTTAGATAATCAAGAGGGCCACATTCCACTGAAGATCAATAGTTTTTTTACGAGCATCATCCCATTTGTTAAGGTTGTGAGCAATCTTGTTAGAGAATAATTGGACACTTCATAGATATTTTAATAATTTGTTTTCAATTGATGTTGAATTTTTTAAAAACGGTTTAATATTAACAAACATATTTTTTTGTTCATTATTTTTAAAATAAGACAAATATCTTTACGTTATCAATGATAACAATGTATGTGTTTATCGATAAATGAAAAATACACATAAACAGTTATTATATTTAAGCTTAAATGATAAATAATAAATAAAATATTATCGAGTAGGGTTTAAATTTCCATTTTTACAAATGGATGTCTTGGTTAGGGATTGAGATTTATGTGAATGAGAAATGTGAGAGTCAAGTAGTAAACTTCCCGTTCCCATTTCTATAGTTGTCTTACCATATTGGCAAAACGAATTCATCCATATCCACGTTTTACACGTAAAGGAAGAAAAGGGTGACTCTACCTGAAGGCGTGCATACCATCTGTGTGTATATACACAGTATTGCACAACATATTATATAATTTGATACATTATCTAAACACATATATTTTTTAAATTGGCATTTTGACGTGTCGTGATGATTTTTCCATGCTAGTGGAATCATAAAGACGCCTTTCTATAATAAAGCAGTTTAAGACTAGATCTTATCAATTTGAACACGCAAATTCATTAATTTCCTTTGGTTTACACCACATTCACAGTGTACTTTGGGTTGGTGCACAGATCTTAGTCTTCCCGATTAGTCCATAATGACCGGCTAAAGTAAAATAAACCTCAATTAAAGTGGTTCTCAGTCATTTTGTGGATGACACGTTTATAGTAGAAAAGAAGGCCAAGGGACCACACATTTCAAAGTGGTTAGTGTTCAACGAGAAATTATTTAATCATGTCACAACTAATCCGACAAACACAAGAAGTTATGTAAATATAGAGTTAAATAAAGATGACACACAAACATACGTTCTCGTAATTAGTCAGCACATGGTCCGAAACTACTAACGGATAAGGCTTGACTTAACAGGCCCAATAAGTTCCTCGCACGTACATGACTCTTGACTCAACATGGCCAAGGACTAAGTTGTGTCCACATTTTTGTAAACTTGTGATCAGTTTGTTGTTCTTCTATAAAAACACCTTTCTCATAATATGCTTGATTATTATCATTTCCATAATGGGTTGTTCATCAATATTGTGTCGTCACTTCACCTTATTCTTGCACTACTTGCTCTTCCTACTGATCACCACATTTGGTTACTGTATGGTCATAAACTGTCTCTCTTTTTTGCAGCATCCACAGCCACTATGCCACAAGGATGAGTGCTCTGCTTTGATGCAGTTCAATCGAAGCCTTTCGATAAGAAACTTTGCTTCTGAGGATCCTTTTGCTCATCCAAAGGTAGCATCGTGGAATGGTAGTGATGGCTGCTGCTGCTGCTCGTGGGACGGTGTCACATGCCATGAGGACACCGGCCATGTGATTGGCCTCAACCTCAGTAGCTGCTATCTCTATGGTTCTATCAACTCGAGCAGCACCCTCTTTAATCTTGTTCACCTTCGGAGACTCAACCTCGCGGACAATTACTTCAATTACTCCAACATTCCGTCTAGCATTGGCCGTTTTTCAAGGTTAACATATCTCAACCTCTCATTCTCTTTGTTTTCCGGCCAAATCCCATTAGAAGTTTCGAAACTAACCAAACTAGCTTCTCTCGACCTTTCTGTCAACGATTTTGTGGGCGAGATAACTAGTACTACTTTTGATAATTTGACACAACTCGTCTATTTAAACCTCTACAACAATAATTTTCTAGGTCAGATACCTCATTCGTTTCGTAATCTTACTCAGCTCACACATCTGGATCTTTCTCTTAATGATTTCAAGGGCCAGTTACCTTCTTTAGCAAACCTTAAACAACTTCGGATTTTCTACATGGATCATAATAAATTAACTGGTCAAATCCCATACTGGCTTGTAACTCTCACCCATTTGAGAAAGTTAGACCTTTCATCTAATTGGTTGCATGGTTCAATACCTGAATCAATTTCTCAACTTGTGAATCTAGAATATCTATCTCTCTATGCAAACAAGCTGAGTGGGAAAATAAGAGTAGATGTGTTTCTTACCATGAAAAATCTCACCAGCCTTTTTCTGTCCGATAACATGCTGACATTGCTCGCCAGTACCAGTACCATCAATGTCAATGCTTCCAAGCTGCCAAAGTTCAAGTACCTAGAATTGGCCTCGTGTAACTTATTGGAGTTCCCTGATTTCTTGAGAAAACAAGACGGCTTGATGTCACTAACCCTACAGAACAACAATATCCGCGGCCCTATACCTAAATGGATATGGAACATGAGTAGAGAAACTCTCTTGCTTATGGACATTTCCGAAAATTTTCTAACCTCTGAGCTGCTTCCTCTAGTCCTTCCGTGGAGAAAACTACGTAGTTTAGACATAAGCTCTAACATGCTGCAAGGTTCACTTCCAATCCCACCATTAACCACCTCTTTCTATAGAGTCTCAAACAACAATTTGACCGGAGAGATTCCACCACTGTTCTGCAATCTGAGCTCTGCTTTTGTCCTCGATTTATCTTCCAACAACTTGACCGGTGTCATCCCCCAATGCTTGGCAAGCTTTAGTGATTCTCTGTCCGTGTTGAACCTTCGAAACAACAACTTTCATGGCCCCATTCCTCAAATGTACAAGAGAGGAAGCCAACTAATGATGATAAATTTTGGTGGAAACCAATTACAAGGGCCGGTGCCTAGATCGTTGGCCAGATGCACATTTCTGGAGAGTCTTGACCTCGGAAACAATCTAATCAATGATACTTTTCCCGTTTGGCTGGGAACACTTTCTAACTTGACGGTTCTGATTTTGCAATTCAATAAATTCCATGGTTCCATACCAAACCCTTACTCCAATGTTGCATTCCCCAGCTTGCACATCATTGACTTGTCTCACAATTGTTTCACTGGTGAGCTGCCTTCGAATTTCTTCACAACCTGGACGGCCATGAAAGTTGTCAATGATCTTAACCAACCAAGGTACATGGGGACAAGCAGAAATCTGGACACACCTGGACAAAGTTGGAATCTAAATTACTTCTACTCCATGACACTGACAAACAAAGGGGTGGAAACAGCATATATGGATATTCAAAATATCTTGATTGCCATTGATCTCTCGAGTAACCACTTTGAAGGAGAGATTTCAGATTCACTGGGGGTTCTAAGTGGGCTCCACATGCTCAACCTTTCCAACAACAATCTCACTGGTGAGATCCCATCTTCATTTGGGAATCTGACAGAGCTCGAATCATTGGACCTTTCTCAAAATAAACTCTCTGGAGAAATACCCCAGAAGCTGTCCCAGCTCACGTTCCTTGAAGTCTTCAATGTCTCTCGAAACCATCTCACAGGGCCGATTCCACAAGGGAGGCAATTCGATACGTTTCCAAACAGCTCATACGAGGGGAATTCAGGATTGTGTGGAGACCCTTTGTCGAAGAAATGTGGCAGTGTAGAAGCATCACCACCACCTTTTTCAAAATTCAAGCAAGATGATGATCATTCATGGTTTCCGATTGATAAAATTGATTGGGTTGTCATATGCATGGGCTATGGAGGTGGGCTAATTGCTGGGTTGATCATTGGGCACACTCTGACCACAAGGTATCATGAATGGTTTGTCAACACCTTCGAAAGAAACCAAAAGAAACATGGAAGGAATAATAAAAGCAGGCGAAGAAGTTAAATTTGATGAGCGGCCACATTTGCTTCAAGGATGTGTGCTTCTATAGATTTCCCGATTGGAAGGAAAGAATTTCAGACCTAGAATGGAGATTTTACCTTGTTCAGGGCAGTTTCGAAGATGATATACATGGTTTGTCGTGATTATATACGCATTAGATAATTCGTGTGTATTGTGTTTCTTTTGCCTTCTGTCATGTAATCATTTAGTAATGTAGTTCAGACGAGGTCATAACATGTTGCAGTGTTAAAAAATTTGGAGTACTAAGTTTGGTTGTGTGTGTTTTTAGCAAATTATGGAAATAGTTTTCTGTTCTCGGAAAATTGAAAACTGTACAAAAAAAATTATATTTGGTTCAGTTTTTTTTTAAAACTATTTTCTAAAAACTCAGTTATAAAAATGTCTATTTTCATATAACAATTTTTTGTAGTTCTCTAAATATTATTCTCTATTTTTTTAGTTTCTGATAACTGTTTTCAAACTTACCAACCAAACAAGTTCCAAATTTTTTATTATAAAGGAACATCATTAAACTTTAACCATAAAATTTTTTTAACATATTCAAAGATTGTTTCTTTACACTTTTCTACTCCATTACTTTCACAAATGAACTTGTATAACAATGATGAAATGAACACTACTCATTACTATAAGCCTACACAATTTTTCATGGTAGTGATCCCACCATCCACAACAAGGTTATGACCACTTACATACTTGGATTCATCACTAGCAAGATAAAGTGCAGCCTCAGCAATATCTTTGGCCCTCAGTGTCACACCCTTTAGATTGGCCATTTCTCTCACCATTTCCTCCATCTTTTTTACTTCTTCCTCACAAGGTGCCCCTAAATCCTTGCATTCTTCGTCTTCCTCATGACTCCTCCATGCATTGACAAGCATGGAAGTGGCCACCCCAAAGGGAGATATGCAGTTAACCCTAATCCCATACCTTCCTAGCTCACAAGCCGTGTTCTTCGTCAACCCTACAATGGCATGTTTCGATGCTGTATAAGCATGAGGCCCAAGCCCTCCCATGAGACCGGCCACGCTGGATATAGAAATGATGCATCCACTTCTTCGTGGCACCATTACACGCGCCGCGTGCTTCATCCCTAGGGCTGCTCCTTTGACATTTATGCGCATGACATGATCAAACTCATCCGCATCAAAGTCTACGATGCTCTTGTGCTTCGATTGGTTTCCAAGTACACCGGCGTTGTTGAATAGAATGTCAAGTTGGCCATACATTGAAAACGTTGAACTGATCAAGTGTTTGATATCCTCTTCCAAGCTCACATCACAATGCATATAGGTTGCTGAGGGTGACAATGAGTTAGCTAAAGCAATACCAGAGGCATCCTCGACATCTCCAATGACAACCTTGGCTCCATGTTTCGCAAAAAGTCTCGCTGTGGCTTCTCCTATCCCTCTGGCTCCACCTGTTACAATTGCAACTTTTCCTTCCAACCTACACAAGGTTAACATTTTTATATTTAAAAATAAAGCAATCAAGAAAAAATGGACATATGTGTGTGTGTGTAGGTAAAGAGTCATAGGATCATATATAATTTTTCATTAGGCACAACAAAGCCTGACAATTAAAGTATCAAATTATTAATGATATCAATGATTTGGGAATGAATTTATATATATTTCCCATATCCAGTGCAATCAATTTCAGTGATTTCTTTTTCCCTTCTAGAAGCCATCAGTAGCTGATGTTTATTCTTAATTATTATATAAATGCATTTTTAAGTAAATTACAGCTAGAGGAACTATAGAAAAATCATATAATCAAAATGTGTATCAAATATTTTATTGCAACTATGAACCATTAATTTCTTGAATTCTCAAATGATTTGCGTAAGGGTAAAGAGAATTAGAAAAATTAAAGAGTGGAGTGAAGGTAACCTTTTCGGAGTGAGGAGGGAGTTCTCCCTGCTGCTGACATGAATTGCCCGGAGGGTTTTCTCAGGTATTACTTGAGCAGGCATGTGTGCGTGTGCGTGTGTGTGTGTGTGAGAGAGAGAGAGAGGGAGAGAGAGAGATTTAACAATAGAAAGGAATAAGGACACTGAGGAATGAGGATACAGATGGTGGGTTGAAGGATGGAAGGGCTTTATAGTGTTCCAAAAAGTGCTTCTGCAGTGGAGGGGACACTTTCTTAGATATGTCCCTTACCCTAAAGCTCGCTTGCCCCTCAAGTACTTGTTTCCCTCAACTTGTCAAAATATCCCTCCCAATTAATTCATACAAAAAATAATAATAATGAGAAACAAACCCTTGTAATTGTAACCCCAGTGACCAAAATTGCCTTCCCTTTTATTTATATATGGCTTAATTGTGACACACACACACACACACAACATAAATAAACCTTCAATTAATGTATTCAACCTCAAGATTATCCTCATGTTGCATGCTTAACTTTGATGTATATTTGAACTTTCATCAAGTAGGTCCTACCACAAATCCCTTTGAATGAGAGATCCATGGTACGATGCCCGAGTATTATAGAATTTGTCAAAAAACGGAAAATCAATTAAATGGCGGAATTCATATAAACCGAGATGAACAAAAATAACCCATCTTTTATTTTATTTTATTTTATTTCCAAGTTTAAGGAATATCCTAAGCTGACTACTCATGCATAGCTGGTGTTGCAATCATATATGATGGGGCTTTTTCCCAAAATGTTGCGGATAGGATTCATTCTTACATCATCAGCAATCCAATGGACACATCAGAAATATCTCACAAATATTTCTTCTGATCATAACTAAATGTCTAGCTGTTACTAACAGGAAGTGATATAGGAAATGCAACAATTACTTGTAAACAGTTAGGCAAGAGCTATAGCTAACAATATATGGCACACGCAAAGGAATCAACCAAACCAACAAAATCCAACTCCTTCCATATATATCTTGTCATTAATTCTAAGATTTAATTCATATACATATATATATATATATATAGATATATAACTTGTTATCTCATTACTATATTGCTTCCATATATATCTTGTCATTAATTTTAAGATTTTAAGGAGATATATGTGTCTGCATGTTTGATAAGAGGACTGGTTTTCTATAAAGTTCAATCTCATTCAAGATCAAGAATATAGATGCATGCCAAAACTGGATTAGTTATTTCGATCAAATGCACATAAATTGCCTCTCTTCGGATTAAAAAAGAGTGCAAGTTTTCTTTTCTTATATATATATATATACATATATTTGCTTTACCCTTTGAAAAAAAAGAGAGTGCAAGTTCAATCCTATTGGATGATACACATTCGGATTATGTGTTAAAAGGAGAAGTCATAGGTGGGTTTGTGAAATGACCGTTAGATTTAATCTAACAGTCTATATAGAAAGTGTGAATTATTTTTCTTGCTCCATGAGGAACAAGAGATCAGGACTCATGTATATAGATAACATATGGATACCATTAATCCCTCCTCTTAGAGGAAAAATGGGTGGCAACTCCAACTAATCTTGCTTTGGGAAAATAGGTGGGAAGAAAACAAAGGAAAAAAATATTTTTTTTTTTTATGGGAATAAGAAGTGAAAAATAGGAATTCACTTGCTAAGGACCATACGAATAATCACCAACTCTAACGAGAGTAGAGAACGGTTCAAAAATTATTTTATATATATATATATATATCATGGTTCATCGAACTGATACACGAAGGTTCGATATCGTTACACATCTTTTTAAACGGATTAATTCGGCTGATTTATACCGATATTATTTGTCTGAATTCATTACATTGCAAGTGTGAAGCATAATATATAGTATATACAGTGTTCGCTATTTTAAAAACTTTTTTAGACAGGTAAGAATATCTCTTTTCGGGCAATATGAGATGTCCCAATATATTTTTCCTTCATTTTCTTTCATATCCGTCCCTATTTTTAACCAGAAGCATATGTGGACCAATTTTGTGCCCTTATTGCCATACTCACTGATTAAATTATCCATTGTAGTGCCTGTTTTACGGGGATTCTTGTTTCCCCCAACTAAGGCTTTTGATGATAATTGATTTCATTATTCTCGGGATAATGGTTTTTTAATTGATTTCGTTGTAGGCCACTACCAATAATTGGCCTAAAGAAGGTTAGGTTAATTTTTTATACATTCTCACCTGCTAAAAAGTTGTATTAAACTAACAAATCCTTATTAAAATGACATGAAATTTATAAATACCAGATGAGCATGCAACATTATGGCAAACAAAATGGTAAAGTGCAGAAAATGCCATTTCTGTTTTAAAAAGTGTGTTAATAACTTTTTTATTTTTTTAATATTAGGTAGAAGCACCCTTCAAACAAGAATATAACATAACATAATGTTACAATACTCGTTTTACCATTTTACTCTTTTCAAAATAGCTAAGGGGGTGTGCATGCTAATAATCTTATCGTATATGGATATTATGTGCACATTAACACAATCCAAACAAGCCTAATTTATAACTAACCAAACGAACCTAACTTACTATGACATGTTTAAATTGTTTTCTAAAAGATGTAATCTTAAAAGGTTTGCGGACATTTAACACCTCTGCAATATGCATATAGGGCATATAATCCCCCTCTAGGTTCTGAAAACCCCCATATAGTTCATTTTAGGGGCGAACAAGGGTCTCCCATCATTCAGCTGTTAATGAGTTGATAAAAATACTAAAATGCCCTTCCTTCAATTATTTTTAAAAATTAAAAACTCAGTTATATATTATAAACTGGCCATAATGACCTTTACTAAACGACCTTTATTTTGTCATTGAAAAAGGGCATTTTGGGTATTTAATACAATTAATTAGTCACGTGCCACACACATGATTTGTTAACGGTACCTTTGTAATAGTTCATCGCTGAAAAGCCCTAGCTAGTTTGCTACATTTTTAAGGGATTTATATATCCAAAGTAAAAGACAAGTGTATTATTTGCTCAAAAAATAAACCTTAGAGGTGCTTTGGTCTTTAGATACTTACCTCATCTAAAAATAACATCAAAATTCATTGAGACAACTATTTTGTAAACATCATCGGTCGTCATCATAGGTCGTTATTATTAGGAGTATTATTATTTTGAATTTGGAGTTAATTAAAGTAATGGGCATTAGTTCATTGAAAATTGTTTCTAGTGAACAGTACCAAATAGGAATAGGACATTAATTTGTGACTAGAAGAATGAGGGAGAGGTTAAATTAAGTTGACTCTGTGTCACAATCTTTAGTTCATTAGATCTTAACTCTGGTATATTTATTTATTTTTTTATTTTGGGTGATCGATTATAAACTTAAAAAAATAAAAATAAAAGGGTTTAAATGGATAGGTTTATATGTTTAAAGTATGCAATAAATTTGATGGGGTAACAAAAGAAGTCATAACTATGTCAAAATTATTGCATATTTTACTTTTTAAACACCTAGTGGACGACACCAAAGTTATATTCTTTTGGATGGGGAGCAAAAGAAGCCCAACATTGGAAGTTTTGGATCTTCTAAAGTCAACACAAAGATAAATGGAGGGGAAAGAAGGAAATTTATTTTATTTGGTTACATAGCAAAATCAAAACTTGGCATTAAACTAGGGATTAAGATATTTGCATTACTTTTTCTTCTTTGTATTTTGTTGTCATGCGCGACCTAATATGTTACAACTTAAGTCACATAGAAGAAGTGCATGAGGGGAAGCAAATGTGAGAGCAAGAGCGTGAAAGTGACAAAATTTAAGTCACATATCACACATAATGGGATTGGAAGCAAGAGCGTGAATAAAACACGAGAGCGAGAGTATAGGCGGAATGTAAGAGTAACATGTTTAGAAAAATTATGTAACTTAAGTCACAACAATGTCTCTTGATCTTTATTGAGCAATTACCTTATTTAAAATAGGTACAAAAATTAAAATAAAAGTTAGTTAATGTGTAATATTGGATTGTATCAAGGATTATATGATAGAAAAACTAATAGAGCTAAGAAACACCAATGTAGATGCCGATACAGGATATGAGTATGATATGATACGATACGAAACAAATATGACAATACATTAAATTTAAAAAAAAAAAATTATAGGACACGAATATATATCACATGAATACTTCAAAAAATAATAATATAATATATTATTTATAAAAATAATAATAATATTTACTCATTTTATCCATACAATTATGAATGAAATCATTATTAATTTAGAGCTTGGAGCTAAATATTTGTTATTTTTGTTTTATTAATTTTCTAATTAACTCATAATATATTTTAAATTGTATTGAATTTTATTATTCAAAATTTTTTATTATAAAACTATATTGTCGTGTCCTGAAAGTGTTCAAATTATGTCTTTGTTGTATCTTAGTCTTATTCAAAGAAAAAAATAAAATATTTAAATTTTGAGTTAATTACAACGATAGCCTTTGAGGTTTGCCATATTGACAGCCATATACAACTTAGTCATTTTTAGACAAAAACACCCCTGTGAGATTTTTTATCCAAACAAGCCCTTAAAACATTAGAGAAGACAATATTGCCCTTCAATGTTTAATAACACATGAAAAGTCAAATTTACCCTTATATATATACAATATTACATCAGCACCATCACATATATATATAACCAATCTGGCTGCCTCCTTCCCCCACCCCTTCCTCCACCTCTGCCACTGCCTCCGTCGCCGCCTCTTGATCCGCCGTCACCGCCTCTCCCCCAACAACAGCCGTCACCGCCTCTCCCCCAACAACAGCCGTCGCCACCATCATCTCCCCCAACAAACAACCACCACTTCTCAACCACAGCCGCCACTATCACTTCTCCTCATCCACAACCACCACCATCGCACCGACGCTAACCCACCACCAAACCAAAGCTTGTGATCCAACCACGATTCCCGACGATGGAGACTACCAGTGGAAGCTTCGACGAAGGCGACCATCATACCAAACAATGGTGACGGCTAGAGAAGAACGATGATGGCGGTGG